TCATTTATGTTGTGTTATGGGCAGTATGGTTACATACTTCCTTGGTTCCCAGGCTGTGTGTCCTTGTTGTATTAGACAACCTGTCTACCCTGGAGAAAGGCTGTGATCTCGTATTATGGGGTGCCCCCCTCAATTCTCAGGCTGTGTTGATCCATTGGCTTTGTTGTGCTAGACAGCTGGTCTGCTTCCAGGGCTGTGATGCACTTTGTGTGAGACCCAAGCTCTTAGAAATAAATTAACCCCTACTGCTCATCTTGACCCCTTATAATGCATATATATACACCTATAAGCCAGTTCCCAAAAAACAGGCCTTTAAATACCATTTTCAAGCCAACATCCACAAACTCCTCTAGCCCTTGTCACCTGGGTAAAGTGGTGCTCTCAGTTTTGATCACAAGATCACAAATCATGAGTCAGACCCCAACAACCAAGGCTGCCTCCCAAAATATTGTTGAAAACATCAAACCATGTTTTTAATCTGTCTGTTGATTCTGAGCTCTCCTCTCTTCTGAACATATATCTGTGGGAATGTCTACAGTAGTGGTTAAAGTATAGGGTAGGCATAACCTAGCTAGCTTTAATATAACTAGCTTGGGTGTTGATAGCAGCATAGCTCTACTAGCATGGCACTCAGGATAGGCTGCAAAATGACCCAAGAAGCAAAATAAATCAGCTTGTGTTGAGATCTGTGATCAGTGGGTCAGGGTTGCAAACTGTCCATAAATTTATAGGCAGACTGTAAAAAACAGCTAAAAATGCCTGTCTCTAAAAAAACCATGGCAACCACAGCTTGAATTAAGATCCCTTGTCAGAGGTGAGCGTTGAATGACAGAAAGAGCAGAGCAGCACCATTTGGTATCTGAGCAGGAACACAGCACCTTGCACAGAGTATTCTCTCAGGGCTTCGGACCCCATAGTCCTCCCCCCCCCCAGCCACATGCTGCTGCTGCTGCTGCTGCTGTACTCCTGCCTGTCACAATGCTGGGTCACAGCTGGGCAGACAGTCATCCTTCTTTGGGGATCCATGCCAGGATGGGAAGCAGGGGCAGCAAGGTAATACTTGGGGGGATGAGCTGCAGGGGCAGCATGGATCAGGGCCATCAGGGTGTGGGGGTGTGATTGGGGGCATCAGTGTGTGATCGGGGATGTGACTGGGGACATCAGGGTGTTGGGGTGAGTAGGGAATCCCCAGAATGGGGCAGCATGGTATAAAAATCACTGCTGCAATCAAGCAAGTTTGCCAAGTCAAGAAAAAAAATTCTCATCAATCCGCAAACTTTTTACTGACAACCAAACTTTTTTTACTAAGGTTGCTGTTAAACTCTACATTTGAGTTTGGTCCTTGTCCAGGGCCTGGAAGAAGGGTTATATTCACTTTATGTGAAACATATGTATGTCAGTAAAAACATCTCTCAAAAAAAAAAGTTTAGTCCCTGGAAAAAGTTTACAGATTGTCAATAAAAAATTTGTGTTCACAACTTACAGTGGGTCCCCATAAGAACAAACACATTCTTCCACAGTTTTCTAAGAAAGAATCATAGAGGAGTTCAACTTAGTGCAACACAAGCGACCATGGGATATACCACCAGGAGGCCTAGCAGCACAGTGGGAAGTGCAGCACCAGTGAAGACACGGTAACCTGGCATAGCAGGGCACTAAGATGTGCTAACTAAGGGCTGACATGGCCTGGCCAGTGAGCTCTGCAGGGTAGGCAGAGCTCCACAGATGCAGATTGCCTGAGCAACAGCCAAATTGGGTAATTGGCCCTCACCTGCAGATGTCAGATGATTAGAAGAAGGCAGGGATTTGGGGCATATAAGCCCAGGGCTGGAGCTAATAGGGACACTCTCTCTCTAGCAACTGCCATGGGAAGGAGCTCCTGCATGAGGGAGCTACCTGAGACCTGGTGCTTCCTGCTTTACCACCCAAGTGCAGCAAGACTCCAGGAGCTTCCCAGGTTCCTAGACAACCCCAGCTAGGTGCATTTCTAGCCTCCTCTTAAAGACCCCCAAGGTAGGAGAGAGCACCATCTCCCTTGGAAGCCCATTACAGATTCTGGCAACCCTTACTGTAAAGAAGATCTCCTTGATGTCTAACCTAAATCCGCTCTCCGTCAGTTTGTGGCCATTGTTCCTAGTTACTCCAAGGGGTGCCCTGGTAAAAAGAGCATCTCCTATTCGCTGCCCCCCCTTCCCCCGATGAATTTGTAGGCAGCCACAAGATCACCTCTCAGCCTTCTCTTGCAGAGGCTGAAGAGATCCAGGGCCCTCAATCTCTCCTTGTAGGGTTTTGCCTACAGGCCCCTAACCATACAAGTGGCCCTCCTCTGAACTCTCTTGAGATTGTCCACATCCCTCTTGAAGTGTGGCACCCAAAACTGGATGCAGTACTCCAACTGCAGCCTGACCAATGCCGCATAAAGGGGAAGTATTACTTCCCTGGATCTGTTTGTCATGCACCTGCTAATACATGCTAAAGTGTGGTTAGCTTTACTGATCGCTTCATCACATTGATGACTCATGTTCATCTTGGTGTCAACAATGACTCTGAGATCCTTTTCCACTGCTGTGCTACTGAGAAGGTCCTCCTTTAGCCTGTAAGTGTTCTGGTGATTCCTTCTGCCTAGGTGTAACACCTTGCACTTGTCCTTGTTGAACTGCATCCTATTCTGTTCTGCCCACTTTTCCAACCTGCCCAGATCCACCTGAATTCATTCCCTACCCTCTAGTGTGTTAACTTTACCCCATAATTTGGTACCAGCAGCAAATTTGGACAAAGTGCTCTCCACGCCCTCATCCAAGTCACTGATGAAGACATTGAACAGCACAGATCCAAGAACCGAGCCCTGTGGGACTCCACTGCCCACAACTTTCCAGGTTGATACCGACCCATTCACCACCACTCTCTAGGTGCAACCCCTATGCCAATTTGCCATGCACCTAACCATGTAATCATCTACATCACAGCCTCTCAGTTTATCTATGAGAATAGGATGAGATACTGGATCAAAGGCCTTCTTAAAATCCAAGTAGATAACATCTACCTCAATTCCTGAATCGAAACATTTTGTGACCCAGTCATAAAAAGAAACAAGGTTAGTCAGGGAGGATCTACCTGCTGTGAATCCATGTTGGATGCCCTTCAGCATTGTTTTTCTCACTGGACTCCCACAAATGTGATCCTTGATAATTTTTTCAAAGGTTTTCCTGAGGATAGAGGTAAGACTAACCAGTCTATAGTTACCCAGATCCTTCTTCCTCCCCTTCTTGAAAATAGGGACCACATTGGCCCTTTTCCAATCCCCTGGGACCTGACCTAAGCACCAAGAGTGTTCAAACAGCCATGCCAGTGGCTCTGCTGTGACACTAGCCAATTCCTTCAGCACCCTTGGATGACGATCATCCAGACCCACTGACTTAAACACATCCAGCCCCTCCAAGTGTCCCTTCACTAAGTCAGCACTAACAATTGGAGGCTGGTTTCCCTTTTGTGCCTGTCTATGATCCAGTTGGGAAATTTGTCCTAATCCATTTAGGAATACAGAGGCAAAAAACATATTAAAGAGCTCAGCTTTGTCCCTCCTATTTGTCAGTAATTGCCTTAGTTTATCCTGTACGGGTCCTATGCTACCCTGAGCCTTCTTTCTACTCCCTATATACTTTTTTGTTGTCTTTAATTTTTGTTGCCAGCCTAAGTTCCATTTCTGCTTTGGCCTTTCTAACTGCCTCCCTGTAAGTGCGGGCCAAGTAGGTATACTCCACATTGGCAGCTACCCCCTGCTTCCACAGTCTATATGCTAGACCTGTGCGAATAAGGAACTATTCAATTCAGAATAGGATTCGGCCAATTTGGATTACAGAGATTCAATTCAGAGATTTGAATCCTTTTCCCAATTTGATTTGGCCAAATTGCGTTGGAAGATTCAGAGCTGATTCGGAGCCGATTTGAAGATTCGGCCTTAGAGTATAATGGGGAATCAATGAAATATCTATAATTTCATTGTTATTTGGCTGATTTGGATGAAACTTGCAGGGATGGTAGACTCTGATGCAGGCACAAAGCCTGCCAAGCTTCAAGGTGATAGGTGTGGGAGTTTCAGGGAAACTGCACCTCAAATTCCTGAAAGCAAAACTCAAGTCACGTGTACGTGTTAAGCCACAGTGGGGTGAAAACTGCAGGAATGGTATCTCTTGCTGAGGCCAAAAAGCCTGCTAAGTTACAAGGCAATAGGTCTAGGGGTTTCTGGGAAACTGCACCTCAAGCTGCTGACAAGCAAAACTCAGGTCACGTGTGTGTTACACCAAAGTGGGATGCAAACTGCAGGAGTTTGCCCCCATTCCTGTGCAATGGGATTGTCTCCATCTGTACCTTTAGGATTCTTCCCATTAGGAACAACCACCCTTCCTGGACTTCCATCTCACCAATGCTCCTGTTCTCCAGTGCCTCGCTAACTAATCTCCTAAGCACACTGAAGTTAGCCCTTCTGAAGTCTAGCACTCCTGCCCTACTGGTTATCTTTCCCACCCTACGCCAGATGGTGAATTCAATCAAGTGATGGTTGCTGTCCCTCAGGTTACCTTGTGTCAGTAGATCCCCACCAAGTCATCCCCTGTAGCCAGCACCAAGTCCAGTAACGCATTTCGCCTTCTGGGACCGTATACCTCCTGCATTAGGTTGTTACACAAATTGCCAATTGCTCAAATTATGAGTGAGACCTTATGAGGGAGGATAAGGCAAGATGCTGCGTTTATTGATTAAGCGCTTAATGCACACACACCACATTCATATCCCAATTTCTGTTCTGCACTGGTATACATTACGAGTCTTATCAGTGCTTAGATCAACTTATTGGCCAGCCAAGTTGATCATGAGTAGGAGCTGGGCTCCTGACAGTTCATCTCATCAAACGAACTGATGCTCCAGGATGACATGCAGAACAAGACCCAAAATCAATATGTCTCACACCATCTTTTATAGCCTTGTCAATTCACCTAGTCCTCTGGGCTTTTGCTGTGTTATCACTGTGTTCATCCTTGAAGGTCAATTGCCATTGGTCTCTTGCTGTTCTGGGGTGGATTCTTCTTGTTTTGGCCTTTTATCTGTCTGCATTCTTCAGCAGTCACCAGCTGATGATTTCCTTTTCCACAACCACACTCCCACCCATACAGCATACAAGAGAGTGAAAGGTCAAGCACTTATGCCAAGCTACAAAGCAATACAAAATGGAGTTGCTTAAGGCAATGCAAAACTCAAGAAAATACATAAGATTAAAAGCAATAGGCAAAAAGTCTATTTGTATAACAAGGTGAAGCTCTTGTATGAAGGTTAAGAACCTATGTGAATGGTTGGATACAGCTAACTGCTCCTCCCAGCAGATGTCAAGGTAGTTTAGGTCACCCATGACAACCATGTCCCTTGACCATATGGCCTCTGAGAGCTGTCTGGAGAATTCCAAGTGCAACTCATCCTCCTGATGTGGTGGCCTGTAGTAGACCCCCCACTACCAAGTCCCTTTCCCCGCAACCCTCTTGCATTCTGGCCCACAATACCTTAATTTGCCCCTTCTGCAGTCCCATCTTGACTAAGGAAGATGTATATTGCTCCTTAACATAGAGAGCAACATGACCGCCCCACCCCTTTTTTCTCCCTACCCTATCTAGGGATAGAGTTTGTACCGGTAGTTTGTGGAGGAGACTATAGGAGAAGTGGAGGCCTCACTAGTTCCCCAGCAGGGTGTGGCACCCTATTGTCTAGAGCCCAGTGCAAGAGGGGCACAGAGACATAAGAGCTGGAGAGCCCAGCACTAGAGGGATGCAGAGAGAGAGGGAGGCACCAGAGAGAAAGGGAGATGCTAGAGAGATGGGTGCTAGAGAGCCCAGTGCCAGAGGGACATGGAGATACAGGGGACTCAAGCGCCCAGCTCCAGAGGGGCACACAGAGCTGATGATGGTAGAATAATACCTGCAAGGCTTGAGACACGGTAAAGGGGGAGTTTGAGCCATGTATAATGCCCTAGGCATTGGGGCTTATACATGGGCAGCCTTAGAACAAATGTATTAATTCTATCAAAGGTATGGCAGATGAGTCAGGTGGGCAGGCTGGTACTGGGACTGTCCATGGGACTGCCTCCTGTCATACTTCAGTAGGGCTTTGTTGTATGGCTGATCATGCCAAGATTATGCTCAGTGCTCAGGCCTGGAAGCTGATTACATGCTGTCTGATATGGAGACAGTTTAAGTCTCCTTTTCTATGCACATGTTTAATATGCCAACTGGTTAGTATGTCTCTCTGTTTCCACTTGTTGATCTGGGCTAAGGACAGACATTCACAAAGCTGGAGCCTGAATTGATTCCATCTTTGCAGGTTAGTCTAACCAGCCTAGGTTGAACCGATTTGCAACTTCACAGACATTCCCTCTGGACTGAGGAAATGCAAGGACATGCCTACATTTGCTCAGGCCAGGAGCTAGAGTGTACCATCAGCTGCAGGTAAACTGCTGGGGGGGCATGGACAACCTGAGCAGTAGCCTTGGTTGAACTGGCCATGGAGGGGTTTAATTTCCCCCTCCCTGTCCCACTGGCAGGGACCCAAGCTGGGTCTGCCAGGCACTCCCCCCTCACTGCTGCAGTGGCAGGCTGCCATGGCCTCTGAGGCAGAGCGGGTAGGGAGTGGGGTTATTTTCCCATCTCTACCTCCAGTGTCCCTGGGGACTGCAGCCAGGTCTGCCCGCCCCAATCGCTGCCACCACTGCTTGCTCCCTGCTTGGGGCAAGCGGTGAAATAAGCCCCCTCCTGCCCCCTCTGCCAGATGCTAGAGGGAGGGAAGGGAGTAACCCACCTCCCTACCTCCTGCCTAAGGGGACCTACTGAAAGGGCTCTGGCCAAAGCCCTACCCCACTGCTGCAGTGGCAAGGGGCAGGACTCTTGATGGGAGCAACAGCCCCTGTCACAGTATCTGGGGAGTGAGAGCCTCTTCCTGGTAAGGGGGCCCTGCTGCAGGATGGACAGAACTGCAGCAGACTGTGTGCAGCAGCACCGGGGCTCAGAGGGGCCAGAGCCCCCCCAAGTCCCACCCCCCCAAGCACTGCCACTGTGTGCAGTCCGCAGCAGCTTTCCCTGCCCTGCAGCATGGCCCCCTGCCAGGAAGGGGCTTACAGTCTGGGAAATCATGACAGGGGCTGCTGCTCCCATCATAGCTGCTCCCCCCTCTCTGCTCCAGCGGCCAAGCTGGGGCAGGGCCAGATGCCAGCCAGCAAGGCCCCTTAGGTGCGGGGCAGGGAGGGGGGTTATTCCCCGCTCTGCCCCCAGGGGACTGCAGTGGGGTCTGTCCACCCTGGCTGCTGACTCTGCCACGACTCGCTCTGCGCCTGGGGCAAGCGGAGGGATAAGCCTCTTCCTGCCCCATCCCTCTGGCATCCCTTCCTTCCAGCATCCCTGGCAGTGGGACAGGGAGGGAGGAATTAAACCCCTCTCTGGCCAGTTCAGCCAAGGCTACTGCCAGGGCTGGCCATGCTCCCGCCACTGGATAAGCCAGCACAGAGAAGTGCAAGTCCATGCTAGTGGGACAGGGGAGGGAGCAGGGCAATAAACTTCTTCCCTGCTCCCTTCCAGGCCAGCATCTGGCCAGACCCCCACCCCACCCCTGCCTGGGAAGCAGGAGGGGTGGGGCAGCCCTTCTGGGCTGCAGCAAAGAGCCCCGCACAGCCCAGAGAGCATGCTGGGATGCATAAACTGGTTTGAGCTCAATCAGTTAAGTCTGATATTACATTCAACCAGGTTTATCTCACACTGGTTTTGGCCAGTTTGAAACTGGTTTATATGCACTGATCGTCTGTTCTGTTACAGGTTTTAACCAGTTTCTGATCACTTAAACCGGTGCAATGTCTGTCCCTAGCCCTGATGTCCAACTAGTAAATTTCTTTGCTGGTACTCTGCTGCATGTTAATCAAGCTGTGCAGTTATACCAAGCTGGACAATAATTAGGACAGAAACATGGAGACTGACACACAAAAATGATAGCATGGACCCACCTGCTCCGTGGCCAAGGGAGCTAGCTGGGTGCCTAAGGGACTTGCTCCAGATGGGACTGCAGGAATATTCTATTTGAATTGTGCCTTCCAAGGCATTTTCTGGGCTGGAACTTCTCCTCAGTCAGTGCAGCAGCTCTCTATGGTACCCGAAATGGGAGATCATGTGAATTGCACATGCTAGCTCCCTGAATTTGCTGCAGGCCAAGAGTAATAGAATATGTTGCTAACTGCTGTCTTGCTGCAAACTCTTGGCACAAACGGGGTCAATAAACTGCCAGGCACTGATGGATGCAGAATGCAGCCCTCCACAGTAACACAGATTATGCCCTAATGTACCCCATACAGATTTTTTTAGTTCCACAGCATGGTATGGCATAACTATAATTGACAGCAACAGCTGAACATTTGAGTTTTTTCCTTCTGTCTTTCTTGAAGCATCTGCTGATGTGAGCCTCTGTACAGCAGTGAGAGGCAGACTGAGCAAACATTGAAACTCAATTTAAATTGGTTGAGAGCCAAAACGCTGAGCAGGAGTAGAGCCAGATAGTCCTAATGTGCTTAGAAGAAATGGCCATCTTTTTTGGCATTACATCCAGTAATTCTCTCATTATTAAAGCAGAATGTAATGTCATAACACAGACATTGTTGTTATTCATATAGGATTTCATAAAAATGACATAAAGTGCAGTTTGCGGTGCCTCTTAAATAAAGAAGTAATTTAACTGCCTCAATAACGTTTGGAAAGTCGAGATAAAGCTGAAACTCCATGTCTTCTATTAACAAATGGCTGGCTTTTAAAACCAGCCTGTGTATTCTATTATGTACTTACTGACAAATACTAATGTATGTGACATATTTACTACATAGAAAATGGAACTGGCCTGCCTGTTGTATGATGACTGCCTAATGATGGTAAATAATGGTCTGTTTGTACATCTGCACAAAGCACAGCAAAGCAATTAGCCCTTTCTGCATAACCTCCAACCCCCACTGTGGAGAGAACCTCCACCCCCCACTGCTGTGCCTACCCCTTCAGCTCTACTGCAGCCTGGTGAAGGAGAGATGAAGAATGAAGACTAAAAAAGTTGCTGCTGGCAAGATGGATAGAAGAAGGAGGCAGAGGTGGAGTGGGAAGAAGTGGGGCCTTACCTCTTTGCTTTGGCTATTAACACAACATTGCCAAATTCTACCCTCTTGTCTCTATCCTCATGACTAGCATTCTGACCATCTGTATCAGGGGATCCCTACCCTGCTACTGCAAGAGAAAGCAGAGCAGTATAAGGGATTTAGGACCCAGCTTGTGGGCTGCATAACACTGGGCTGCTGTTTGTGGAGTTAGCAGCACCTGGGCCCTGTTAACAGAAAGCTAAATGAGATGACTAGAAAAGGGAGGGTGGCCTGTATATAGACTTGTGTGACAGGTTCATACCTGGAAAAATTGTTGCTGGATGCTGCACATGCCCTGTTCACTTGGTCGTAATGTACCTTCCTCCTGTTGCCCACCTTGACTTGCTCTTCCTGTAAGATGAGTGTTTAATCATGGAGAGGTGGTACATGTGGTCACTCGGTGGACTTGGTGCGGTTGAGTCAATGTTAGGCTTCTGTGGGGCTTCTCCTCCCCTACACTCCACCCCTTTCCACTCTGGTGTTCCTGTTGGATCTTGATGGTGAGTTGAGTTTCTAACTGCTTCTTTCCCTGGATGAGATGCTGTGTGAGGATCAAACTTGTGTATGATGGCACCTGTGCCTATGCTTTAAAGGATTAAAAAGTAAACAAGAGAGGGGATCTTGTGGCCACCTACAAATTCATTGGGCGGGGGAGGGGCAGCAAGGAATAGGAGATGCTCTGTTTACCAGAGCACCCCTTGGAGTAACTAGGAACAATGGCCACAAATTTACTAAACGCAGATTTAGGTTAGACATCAGGAAGAACTTCTTTATGGTGAGGGGTGCCAGAATCTGGAATGGGCTTCCAAGGGAGGTGGTGGTCTCCCTTACCTTGCAGGTCTTTAAGAGGAGGCTAGACATGCACCTGGCTAGGGTCATCTGCCCAGGGCAGGGGGTCAGACTCGATGATCTGCCTAGGTCCCTTTTGACCCTAACATCTAGGAATCTATGTAAACAGGTAACTGAACTCAAATCACTCAGGCTAACTGGCCAGGCAGGGCATCAATGCCTCAGTTTGGGCTGAGCCCTGTTACTGGGGTAACAGACTTAATCTGGTGTGCCTTGGAGCACGAGTACTGATTGCCCTTGCCTGGCCTTGCTGCACCTGCTGGCAAATTGCCTCAGGTTCACAGGCTCCCTTTTGCCTGCATTCACAGGGTGTGGCACTGCTTGGACTGGCCCAAGATGGCTCTGTGTGGGTCATGGGCTCTGGCTGGCCACTTTCTGGGGCACTCCTGGCCCATGGTCTTCCCTGCCAGGCCTGGAGCGCCAGTGGGCTGTCTGCATGGCTTTTCCAGCCATTCTCCCACCCAGCTCCTTTGCACTGCCCGTTTCCATCCCTGCCTAACCTTCATTGCTCCACGTAAGGGCCACAGCATGAGGCTTAGCAGTGGACTTCCCTTTTCTGACCATGCAACCTCCTCTAGATACTTTATTTCCAGTAAGGCACGGCAAGTGAGTGTAAAGGGGGAGAGCATCGTAAGAGACCTGGGGAAGTTCAAAGCTACCCTGCAAGCAAGGCCTTTGAGGCCACCCTTTGGGGTATTCCTGTCACACCATCTTTTGCCTTAATTGCTGTTCTGTTTTCCTCTCCAGCTTCCAGCCTCTCTGTCTATACTCCAGTCCTTTAGCTGCAGCTAGTCACCTTGCCTCCCTGTCTCACCTGGAGCCTCTTCTCTGGCTCCTCGTCATTCAGCACATCAGATTCAACTTCCTTGTCTTCACCTTAACTTCCTTCACCTGTGTAATCAGAGCCCAGCTACATGTCTGTGGTCATTTCCTCCTGCTTCCTCCTCTCATGCTTGTTTTTCTACATAACTAGTCAACCTAGGATCAAGAACAAGAATGAGGCAGCATGAAGTCGAAACAAGCAGCAGCTAAGTATGATAGGATTATGCATTATAAAGGAGTGGGAAGGACATCATAGCTCAAGCAGAGACATAGGTGGCAGAAGGCTAGGGCTAATGGGGCTTAGCACCCCCCAAACATGGCTCCATTGCTCCAGCACTACCCCTAACCCTAACCCACCACCACAGCACCACACCCAGTGCCCCCACTGCATACCAGCCCTGAAACAGGTGGCCCCGCACCACTGCCCGCAGCCCCAACCCCCACAAATAATATTTTCGCCTGCCTCTGCTGAGCATAGAAACAACCAGTAAGAAATAGTTTTGGAGGATCGTATTGTTTTCCAGGTTTTCTTTTCATTTAAGAAATGAAGCAGCTGCTGTAAAGTATTTGGGGATTATATTTGGAAGTGCAACTGCTGCTCGTTCAAAGGCACAGAGGAACTGATGGCAGTTCCATCTAATTGGTCCAAGTGAAATCCTGCCTCAGGCCCAGACCTCTTGTGTGAGCATGATCACATCTCTCAGAAACCTACCCCGTTTGATTGAAAGACTGCAAAGAGATGCAAGCACCCTTCCCAACCCTCCCCCTGCCCCAGCTGGGTTATAAACTAAACAAAAGTCCCCGGCTTCAACTTCTGTTCCGCAGGTTCCTAGTGTTTTTCCTTGATGAAGCATAAAATAGTGGAGGGAAATAAATACATCCAATTAAACAACTTGCTTTCCAGGCTGTTCTCACTACCAGTTCTGCATGCACCTGCCTGTGTAGACTGTCCCAGTGACAGCAAAGTCCTACAAAATTTGAATCTATCATCTTAGTACTCTAAAAAGGGCTAGACGTTTTTTCCTATCTGTTCTTTGTCAACTATAAATAAAGGATAAGCATCCCCATAATGTGACCCAGTACACATGAAATAAATCATCCATTAGTGGCCTTCTACTACGTGGGAGGCCTTTTAAAAACACTACTCAGTTTTCCCTGCCCCACTGATTTATATTGTGATCCCTGGTGGGAGGAAGGCACACGATGGTCTTGAAGTGGGGGTGTGAGATACAGAGTTCATTGTAATAGATTTAGCAAACGATACACTAGATGATCAGCAGCGGTAGAGAGGGAGGGAGGGGAAGAGGAAGGCTGTGTGAAACCCAATGACTTCAGCAGACTAAAAGCAAGGGGTTCAACTGAGGTGGGTTTGCATTCAGCTTTATGCAAACTGCAGCACTCTATGCATGACAGAATGAAGTGAAACCTGCCATTTTCATGGTAGACCTGCTGAGATTAGCTGAGACACCCTTCTCACTCGCATTTGGATGGTTCTCAGAGCCTTTCAGTTTCTCTTTCTGCCAGGGTTGCAGTGTTTTGAGAGGCAGGCAGCAGGTCCACTTATCCTGCCTAGCACCGTCAGTGATGCTAACAGCTGCACACATCCCTACAAGCCACTTTCATGGTCCTTAGGAGCATGGTCCGTCTGGCCACTACAGCTCCAGTAAATGTGGGGCTTGGAAAAACTCCTCTGCTGTTGCATCCAACATTTGAGTGGAAGGGCAGGGCATCAGAGATGGTCAGGCCACCATTTCAAAAAAAGGGATAAAATGATCTCGAGTCACCTCTGGGATTTGACGATGAAATTGTTTTGTTTGAAAGGTGTTCAGGGGTGCGGAGGGGACCATAGCTTGTGGTCTGCCAACCTGGGACAGCTCTGCATTTCACCTTGGTTTGGTGAGTATCCAAGAGGTCTGACTGCTTCTCTGAGCCATAGCTGTGCTCTAACTTTGGAAAAATTCTGACAAGTCCACAGAAAGCGGACCACTTGGGCGCTCTGGTCCTGATCCTGGGCAAACAGCTGAAAATGCATAGATGTGCAAAACTGAAAAACACCTTCGCTGCATGGTGCACATTATTCCAGGCTTACCAGAGCTACCCACAATCAGTAGCTGATTGGAAACTTTCATCAGTAAAAGCTGTCTTGAGGATATAAATGCACCCTCTTGTGTTTTTCTACGAGTACGTTGCTCCTTAACAATATGGAGTTTCTCTGGCACCCGGTAATAGTAGAGTTAGCTCCAGCCTGCTTATGCACCTTCAGCTAAGATTAGATTAATTAACTTCTCTTAATTAAACTGATTGCTCATTCCTAACTTAGGAAATGCTGCAAATGCAACATGCCACACATTTCAGCATGCAAAATGAAATGCCAAGCTCAGATTTTGCAAAACAGGTGAAAGCTCTGAGGAAAGAAAGAGCCTTCTTTTTTTGATTTCTCAGTTCCTAGTTCTGGTTAATCCCTGGGGCATTTTGAGTTTCTTTAAAGGGAAACTGTTAGCTGCTTTCACTTCCTTTATCTTTCATTAACTTCCTTGTAACTGAAAGAGAAAAGATCAAGTTCACCATTGAACTAATCCAGCAATGCACTTAATTTGCAAGGAGTTCTGTGGACTTCCAGAAGGACTACCTGAATGATTAAACTCACATGTGTGCTTAAATTGCCTAACCATCTTGAGGTCTATGATTCCTAAATCTATATCCACAGCCAGAGGAATGTATCTGGCATACATGCCCATTTGACTCCTAGGACTATCAGGGAATAATGCAGAGGGTATAGACGTGCATTATTCCCACCTTTTCAGAATTAGGCTGATAACTCAGGTATCATGGTGATACCAGGCATCATGGTGGGAACCAAAATGAGAATGCAGACAGGCAAAATTGTCAAGAAGAAGTCTAGAGCAGTGTTTAGAAGCTGTTGCATATTCTTGTCTGGGAGCATTCAGACTTGGAAGCCATGGTACCTCATTGTTATATTACCAAGGCTGGTTTACTCAGCTATTCATCCGGTGCTGCTCTGATATATCAGATTGCTACACATTGTGTGAGTAAAGCAGTCCCATGTATAACATGAAGGGCATTGTTATTTTTAACAGCTGGATCAAAGCTCCATAATGTAAAAAAAGGCTATTCAAAAGCAGGCACTTTCATGAGGTTGTCTGGTCAGTGGTAGCCATAGGAAAGCTGTTCACTACTGTTTTATAGACTTTTCTCCAGTGCAGCTGCCGTGTCTCCTTGTCATTTTGACTGTGAGACTATATCCATTTCACTCCAGGTGGCGTTCATAAAGTATAGACTAACATCCTTGCAATGCAACAATGACTTTCCAAGGAACCCAGCTTAATCACACCTAGCAAGATAAATCAATGACAGTGCTTATTCAAGTAACTGTCTCAATATGCAGCACACTCGTTTCATAGAAAAGTGACTCCCAGGAATTCATTGGCAACTGCATTTCACACACGGCATGGCAGCAGCATTACTTATCTAACAGCCTTCTACCCTGACTCCCTTACAATTTCCAATAAGCAATACAGGAAGGTTGTTGGGGGAGGCACTGTGTCGTCTACATTTTAAAACAATGCTGGGCATGTAAGCAGTACTCAGTAACTATTAATAATATATATTAGTTGATATTTCTAAAGCACCCTACATCCAAGCATCTCTATTGTTTATCACATCTAGCTACAGATAAGGACTTTGCCATGGTCACCTACCGGTCCCCTGTAGCTGGATATCAGTTTATCAGTGCGCATACCTGCAAAATTGTTTTGGCCTGTTATAAACCTAAAGCAACTTGCAAAACTGGAGACCGGATCTGGGTTCCAAATGTTCATGCAGCTCAGCAGTTTTTAGATCGGGGAGCTGGAGGGGACCACTCAGACCCATCTTTATCTTAGCCAAGAATCTGGGTTAATACTGACTGAGCAGCAAGCAGTTCACTGAACAGGTGAGTCATTTCACCTGCTCTTAATTCTCAGACAGGTCTCTTTTATTATATAAGGCAACTCGCTTATCATATAGCCCATTCAAATCTCATTTCTTTTCTATGCGTGTCTCAAACTAAAGGGGGCAAGCTGACTAGAAATGGGTATTTTGAGAGCGCTAGAAACCCCAATTGTCACCAAATTGTTGGCAAGCAATTCCACAATAAAATTTTCCCTAGAAATTCAAAACTGCCTCCTAAATACCCAAGAAAATAAATTAAACCGTGTGTCCATGCATTATGCTTTGCTGTCCCAGCTGCATATTGCATTCTACTGCAGTTTTGAACACCAGGAAGCTAACAAATTACAGAACAGCAAACCCTGACTCTTTTATAGCCCATGTAACTTGACACGACAATTTAAGCGTGCCCATTTACACTTGTCTGTATGCTGCTTACAAGTTGTCAGTTTAGACTAGAAGACATTCCTTCTGAAAAGAAACAGTCTATGCCCTGTTGCTGTGAACTCAGATACTGGTTGGAGACAGCTGCTTTTTAGAGAAGCATTTCTTGTTTCTGTTCCTTTGAAGAGGAATGGTCTTGGTTCTCCATTCACCCTATTGCAAAAGTAAAAAGATAATGCCTGGCTATCAGGTAACAACTCATCAGTTTTTTTAAATATTCAAAAATCTGATGTCTTTTCTTCTAGGCAGTACAGAGGACATATATAAATGTGCTTTGGAACTCATTGCTGCAAGATGTTAAAACAGATGTTTTGGTAAGTGTCAGTGAAAGGATTAGTTGATTAGGGTAAGTGTTATAGGATGTCATGTTATAGGATGTCGTGTTATAGGAAGTACCAGCATAAAATCAAAGGAAATCCTCTTCTTCTTCCCCTTACAATCCGAGTATTCAAACAATCAATAGCAAAGCTGAAGTTAATCTGGAATGAAATGAGGAAGTCTCTTGCTGTTCATGTTGTAGTGAATGTAGTGGACACTAACTAGCATCTCTCTACTCCTTGTAATTTAGTATTTTTGTTTGGCTTTTTCCCTCCCGACAATACAGGTGGTCCAATGAAAGATATCACTCACAACACTCCTTGCCTCTCATATTTTTCCTCGACCATCATGGTTACAACATCACCCTAACACTACAACATTGTAATTAGCTCAAAAACCTGGGCAGGACGTAGGTTGCTGACTCCTGATCTAAAGCTAGCCTAGGAAATTCTGGCACACTTTAAATCACCCCCAGACAGTGAGAGTCAGTGTGACAGCTCTTTCTGTGGTCATTCACCTGATCACTCATTGATCTTGGTAATAATCAAACCAAGAATTCTTGGTAATAATAATAATAAAACTTTGGTCTTGGCTTCACAAAGTGTTGCTGTGCCCATAACTCTTGCAATGTATTCAGCCCAGTCAGTCTTGCCTTTAACAATACAGTTTCCCTTTGTATTTGAGCCTTCTTCTATGCACGGTTAATGCAAAAAAAAGCGTTCCCCTCCTACTTTGTCTGCTCTGCTTCTGCAGAAGGGAGGAGTGCTGTTCAGGACGTCGTTGTTGCACTGCAATCTCTAGTTCAGTTCAGCTGAAGTCCGGGAGTTTCTTTATGGTCTTTTGTGAGTCTACTGTGGTAGCAAAAGGTAGCTTTAACCCTGGCTTAGCCAGGGGGTTTCAGTGCTAGGTAGCTTTAACCCTGGCTTAGCCAGGGGGGGGCAGTGCTCAGAGGAATCTTTGAGTACAGCAGCATCACATAATCAACTTCTAGTAATGACTTGTGCTGAACTAGGATGAAGAAGCCAGAGCTGATCTCAGGGCCCCGAAAGTTTACAGTCTACACAGGCAAGATAGACTAAGGGTGGAAGGGGAAACATTGGCTTAGGTCATACAGCAAAACTGGAGTTGGCTGGTGAGCAGAGCTGGCAATCACTTGGATGTGGGGGGTGGGGAGTAAGACCTGGATTTGACAAGGCTGTTCAGTGCGTGTGTGTGCTTACTATCCATATGCTAGATGCTGTTGCCTTAAACTTTATGAAGCGACAACAGTTTGAGCTGGACACTATAAAAATAAATTAGAAGTAAATCTTTTTTGCTCAGCTCTGCTGCCTACCCTGACACTGCAACCTGGCAAGCTTGCCAAGATGCACAGCAAATGCTGAAAAGAACAACCCTGGTAGCTTGTAATTTAAATGAGAAAGCTACCTCTGCCCATTTTTCATTTCATATTACACCAAATTCTGAAATACAGGACATAAGGGAGACGATGGAATAGCTTCCAAAACATCGGAGCTGTAGTTCTGTGACCCAAACATAATTTATTTTCGTTTGCCCTAGACAGTGAAGCCTTAGGACATGATGTATCATAAAATATGAGACTACTGAGAAGATTGAAACCAAAGGCTATAAAGTACTTGAGTTTGGCACATAAGGAGAAAGCTCATAGAGAACATTCAAACAAGGGGATTAGATTTCAAGGAAGTACATTTAAAAAATGAAGCGACCAGGTGAGCCGGGTCTATGGGAGGGAGCATCAATATCATCTAATGGAAAAAAGGAATCCTAAAGAGTGCGACTGTCAGGATGCAGCGAACTACAAGAACCTTGGGAGAAAAAAAGGGAAAAATGCAAGGAACAAGTACTTGTCATTTTAATAATGATGGCACAAATTGATTAGCAGGGAAAAGCTTTGCCATTTTTAGAAGCCATATTCCAGATTCAAAACGTGGAAGCCTGTCGTCATTTCTGAAACTAATCTCCATTCCTCCCTGGTTCTGAACTTTTAACATTTTTGTTAAGATTTGTTTAAGAACAATTGTTCTTAAAAACAAAATCCACTTGCATACAGACGCCACATCCTCCTGGATCCTGTCCCTGATATCACTGAAGATAACGACAAAGCTCTCACGGACTTTGGGAGAGTGAGACCCAGCCCATCAAGGGTGTTAAATCCATAAAACAATAGGAAAAGAGGCACTGTTTCATGAAAGATATGCCCATGTTTATATTTAAGGAAATGGCATATTTATTTGCACATACTGTGCTAGGATTCTGCTAGAACTGGTCATAGGTGAGGTGGGGTAATGCCATAGCCAAGAGATCTGCAGGGCCAGCGGTAAGGTGAAACAGGGAAAGAACGGGGAAAGAAATTATTTAAGTTCAGTTTTTCTCTGGTTGTATTTAGTCTAACCACAAAATGATAAAACAGAACATTTGCTATTGTTATGAGCATTAAGGCTACTTCATGTAATCGGCTGGCTAATAAAAGGACTGCTGTGTCCTTGGATGGTTTTCTTTTTGCACGGAAATCTTGTTCAGGCAGATGTTAGATCCTCTTCCTTTCAGGACCTAGTCCCTGACGGCGCTTGTACATGTGCTCCGACACGTTCAGATTAGGTTAATTGAGTCTGCTGCACAGTTGTAATCAGAGCGCTCCAATGTGCTGCAGTGTCTCGTGTATTGTCCATCCCCACATTACAAAATGGGGGGGAGGGGGCGCTTTAACGAAAGCTCATCAAACGAGCTTTAATTAAAGAATCCCTGCCCCCATTTTGAAATGCAGGACACTGAATACACGAAACACTGCAGGCATTTTAATTAGAGTGGCTCCTAAGAACCGCTTTAATTAAAATGCTCACCCAACCTCACCCCGGAGCATATGTGTAGGTGCCGTGAAACTGAGCAAAAATAGTTTTCCCAATGGACTGCCTGCCCACTTGTTAGTGATTTAAAAACCTTAGAAGTCAACCAGTTTAGGCTTCTAAGATATCTTTGCTTTCTTCAGAAATTGTTATCTTTTCCTTTTAGGTATAACTATGCTTGTCATTTTTTGCCAGGTACTTAACCACTTTTTTATTGATAATTTTTCCAAGTTTCTAATCTGTTTAATCATTTGTAAACTTTCATGTTTTAATTATATGATCATTTTTAACCCCCACTCTTCCAAACTTAAGAACATTTGATTGCCCATAATCATCATGACAAGAATTTTTGCTATAAGTCACTAGTTCAGCACAATATGTTATAGTATTATATGGTACCAGAGTCGCATATGGTATTTTCAGATTAAGAGTCTTATTAAAGTTTTCTTAGAACTAGATCTTTAGAATACTTGATTTTGTTGAGATCGTGCTCTTGAACCTACTTTGATCCCCCAGGCCACTTCAGGGAGACCAAACCTTTGAATATATATAGAATTTCCACCTGGTCCGTTCTCTTTTTTCCCCAAATAATTATTTAAAGTACAATCAAAAAACAAAAAAAACGTAGTTCCTCCCTTCAGAACAGTTGAGTTCCATCTTCAGCTTGTTCAATACTATGTGAAGACAGGCTAAGCATCACTGATGGCTAGGGGAACCAATGGCCTTCACTGGCACAAGTCCTTAGTCTACTCAAAACCGTAAGAAACATTTTCAAGCTACTACTGATGAGAACAGGATGGGTTTCAACACCGACAAGTGCAAGGTGCTGCACCTGGGGACAAAGAACCAGCAGCATACTGACAGGCTGGGGAACTCCCTTCTCGTCAGTGCAGAGGCAGAAAAGGATCTTGGAGTCATTATTGATGCCAAAATGAACATGGGCCGACAGTGTGGGGACGCGGTCAGGAAGGCCAACCGCACCTTGTCATGCATCCACAGATGCATCTTGAGCAGGTCCAAGGAGGTGATCCTCCCCCTCTATGCAACACTGGTCAGGCCACAGTTGGAGTACTGCATCCAGTTCTGGGTGCCGCACTTCAGGAGGGATGTGGACAACATGGAGAGGGTCCGGAGGAGGGCCACCCACATGATCAGGGGGCAGCAGGGCAGGCCCTACGAGGAGAGGCTATGGGACCTGAACCTGTTCAGCCTCCACAAGAGAAGGGTGAGGGGGGATCTAGTGGCCTGTTACAAACTAGTCAGGAGGGACCAGCAGGCATTGGGGGAGTCTCTGTTCCCCCGAGCACTACCAGGAGTAACTAGAAATAAT